CCCCCTCCGATAGGGGAACAGACTGCCCGGTGTGTGTGTAAATGGGGGAGGGGGTGGGTGAGAGCCTGTTTTTGATTAAAGAGTCTGGATTTTATTAGGATGGTAATGTTTTAACCAGTCCGAGTCTGTAATTGCAACTTGTTCCTGGTTTGAACTGGACAAGAGGTATCCACATCTCCAGTTCAAATTGACATTGTCACTGTTGTAGAGAAAACAATATTGCGTGGCAGAGCAGCGTTGAGTTAGGACAGAGAGAGAGAGACAGAGAGAGACAGAAAACGAGGGGCAAAAATATACAGAGACAGAGATGTATGTGAGTGAATTAATGACTGGAAGAGAAGGAAAAGAGTGACAACGAGGGGTGAAAACACAGAGAGAGAGAGAGAGACATGTGCACACAGAAAGAGGAAGACAAACAAATCACGGAAAGTGAGTGAAAGAGAGACAGATAGGGAGAGAGATAAAGAAAGAGACAGAGGGAAGAACAGGTGAAATGTGGGAGAGAGTGAAAGAGAGACACAGAGACACAAACAGAGGGAAAGAGAGACATAAGTAGAGAAATATGGATAGAAAGTGACAGGCGGAGGTTAGGAGAAGGGGAGTGAGATGACAACAGAATTAGAGAGAGGCGAGAGAGAGACAGACAGGAATAGGGAGAGTCAGAGAGAAGAGAGAGAGAGTCAGAGAGAAAGGGGTGAGTGACACAATAAGGGAAAGTGGGATAGGACAAATCAAGTGAGGCAACCTGAGAAACAAGAGACATACAGAACGAGAGAGAGAGAACAAGAGGCACAAGGGCAGAGGGAGACAGAGGGACGGTGTGAGTGGGTGACAGAGTCGGTGAATTGCGAGCCACGTTGGTAAATACTCATCATCAATCCATTGCATCATGGGATGGTCCCATTGCTGCCGGTCTCTGTGTTCACATTCATGCTATTTCGGTTTCTGACAGAATCGAACACAGTCCAACCCTCACATACATGTCCTCACCCCAAATCCCTCAGTCATGGTCATCACCCATAAAGGGGAGAGTGTACATGGGGCAGTGGGAGGGGGATTGAATGGGGGTGTACAGACTGTGATAGGGGAGAGTGTACATGGGGCAGTGGGAGGGGGATTGTATGGACTCAGAATTGGAAATGAAATGTCATTCAGAACCAGGGACTCTATGCCCTTGTCGCTGTTGCTGGTTGTGATGGGAGATAATACCAAATATTTTGTAAACTTCTGGTTGTATCTCTGATCTCAACTCCCGTTGAACTCAGTTCTGTAGAATTTCAACAACAGCGTATTTCCGTTACGTGGCCAAGTCAAACCAGTGAGATATCTCAGTTGCCTCATAGGAACAGTATCAGATAGGATTCAACACAGAGTCACATCAGGGGATAGCAGCGACAGGGTTTGAAGCTCGCTCACAGAGGGACAGTTTAACACACGGAGTGAGAAGTCGACTCAGAGACAGTAGGATTGACGGAGGTAGTTGCAGAGCTCAGGCCCCAGGGAGCTGAAAGCATGGACACTAATGGTGAACCGATGGGAATTGATGGGGATACAGCAATGGCCCAGAGGCTGGACTGGGAGGTGGACAGAGATCGCAGACGGGCTGGATGGTGTTACAGAGATCGGGAGAGGGTGTAGGGGCTGGACGGTGTTACAGAGATCGGGAGGGGGTGTAGGGGCTGGACGGTGTTACAGAGA